GAATGAATATTGAGAAATATGAAAGATAATCAATAGAAACAAAAAAATAGATAGAGTAAGTTTAATAGAAATTGAATAATGAAATCAATTAAATTTAGGGTGAAGTAAAATAAAAAAATGAATAAATTAATTAATTAAAGCAATTAAATTAATAATAAGAATAGAAAATTAGTAAATTTGAATCATATATACATGATTTAGAAGATTAATTACAATAATATTCTAGAAAAGAGGAATTATTGAATTAATCAAAAAATTAATCATTGGCAGATTCTTTGAATGTTAAGATTATCCAATTAGAAAATAATTTAATAAAGGCTTAGAAGAAGGAGGATTAATTTATATAACGTATTCGATAATTAGAATAATAATAAAATTCGTTTAGAAATACATCTGTGTAAAGAGAATTAGAATAAAAGAATAATTAAATGTTTGAAGAAATATAAATATTAGTATAAACAATTAAAAGTTAAGATTTTGAAATTTAAACATTGAAGAATGAATTAATTTAATATTAGAAAGAAGTATCATTTATGAAAGAAGTTGTAAATGAAGACACAAATAGATTAGAAACATCATTATTAGATGATAAGAATAGAAAAATTATTGAATTAGAGAATAAGTGTGCATTATTGGCTAATGAAAATACAAGATTAAATTAATTAAAAGTATAATTATTATAATTTAATATTAGACAAAATAAGCTGATGAATTTCAAAAAAAGTATGATAAATTAAAATTAGAAATGGAAAGAAGTTTAAATTTTAAAGAATAAAATGAACAAGACAAAAATATTATAATTTCTAGTAATTTTGGATAAATTTCAAATGCAAAATGAATTATTTAGTATCATAAAATTAATTAATTTTGTGTTTATCTCTTTTTATATTTTATATAACAACCAAATAAAAGGATTCCCAAAAGTAATGCTAATATAATTCCAAAGACAAACCAAATAATTAATTTTGTTGTTTTATCATCATCTATATCATTATTTTTTGTAACATCAATAGTTTCATTTTTTTAATGAAAATGATTTTTGAGAGTAATTAATATTTTCTCAGATATCAAATTATCATAAATACAAAACTTAGAAGTGTTATGTATTTCATATAAAGCAAATACTTCTTTGTTGATTGAATTAGTTAATAAATAAATTTAATGTTCTTATGTAAAAAATGCTTATTGAGAATATGAAATATTTTAATATTGAATAGCACCTGAAAATAATGTAGGAGAAATAATTGGATGAACATAATTTAATTGTAAACTATAAATAGCATTGATAAATGTTGTTGATTAATAATAAATCATCAATATATATGTGTCATTATATATTTTAACTTAGCTGGAAGGCCAAGTTCCATATCCTTAAAGTATTTACAATATTTTATAATTATTAATAGTACAAAAATAAGAATTTACTTAATATTAACAAATAGATTGTATTTATAATATGTAGTGTGAATGTTAATATGTTTAGCAGAATAATTCCACAGTAAATAATTATTATTAAGTTTTGTTATTTTTTATCATAATTCTTTAAAGCAAAGTCTTAGGATCTATATTAAATCCAGATTATTAGATAATATCTAATAAATCAATTTTAGATTATTATGTAAAATTAAGATGATTTTCTTTGAATTAATACATGGTAATATTGATTTAATTATCTCTTTTTGAGTAGATTTAAAAATAATCTTATTCTGGAGATATGATATCTTGAAAATATCCTTAATTTGATGTATTAAAATTTTGAATAATTTATAATTTATCATCTTTAAAAGTATACACATTTATAAAATATTCTGAAATTACGAATAACAAATTTTAAAACACTTTAATTTTTTTAGGATCACTATTAAAAGATATCTCATCAGTGTAATTAGAACAATTAAAATTCTAGTCACATTTTAATACATAAATCATATAAGAAAATGTAGGAATGTATTTGTAAGCTGAAATAAAAATAAGATCCTTGAAAGCTTAGATTATCTTTGAATATGAAATTGAAATATTTAGATAATGTATTTACTAAATTTTAGTAGTCATATTTAATTTGACAATTCTATCTTAATATAAAATGAGTACAGAATCTTATATATATTCTTTGATATCTAATCCTGTAGATGATATCTCTCTATTTAAAAGGTGCATCGATTTTCTAAGTTTCAATTATTTACTATTTAATTCAATATCCACAACTTATCCAGTATACCAGAAATATTTACTCTCACAATAGCCAATAGGTTTACCTTAATTGATTAATTCTTTAAGATTTAATTAAGTTTAATTTACTGTTATGGTTGTATAAGGATTAACAAGAGTTGAATTAATTAAATATTTAAGTTGTTCTTTATTATCATAACTTGAAATAATTAAAGATGTATTAACTTTAACTAAATAATTTGGATTTTCTATTTCTTAATAAAAAATGGAATACTTGATTTTTTCTTTGATTTCAAAATAATTATTGATATCAGCTATAATAAATAAATTTGACACCGAATAAAGTATTTTGTATTTAGTAGAAAATGTAGTCAATAAAGCATTGTGACTACTGGATACCATGGAATATATATATATAGTCCCTAAACTATCTTGACTATTTTTGAAATAGACATATTTAGATTATTAATGATGGAAGAATTTGTTAGGAATTACATTATATAAGGAGATAGTTCTTTGATATTCTATATAAGTTATAGAATTGATTAGGAATGATTCAATAACTGCTTCATCCTTATAGTAAATCCAAATAATATCTTTATATGAAAATACTGTGATAGTTCTATTATAACTAAGTTGTATTATATTGATGGGATAGATTTCTTTTTCTTTGATTTGAATTAACAACAATTACATTCCAGTTTATACATATAGAATATTATACTATTCATTAATTGATATATAGAAAGGATTCCATTAGATATGATAATTCTCAATAAATTCAGTATTTAATGCTTAAGACTTCTCACATTTATCAATTACTTTATAAATAACTACTAATTAGTTTGAGTAAAGCACTACTAAAAAAGAATTGATGTATTGAAATTATAGTATATAATGATCCTAATCTGGATAAATAGTACACTAATAGATGAGTGTTTCAGATATTTTCCAAATATCTAATTACTGATTGTTTTTAACAACAATATATATATTAAATGTATTAATGAAAATTTCATGATCAATAGATGATAAATTAAATTCAAGGTAAACTTAATTTATAAAGACACAATTCATTCCTTATTAACAATAGTAAAGTTCCATATAAAGATTTGATGTTTAAATTAAATATAAGTATATAGTTCCATCTTGAATTACATTTATATATTAAACAGTAGATTCACTTATAATACCATTTATAGTTTTTTATTATAAAAATTCAAAATTAATACTAAATAAAACTTAATTGACCTTTAATTCGTTTATATTAGAAATTGTAATATTAGGACCATCAATGAATCTGTCCACTTCATAGGATTCTATTGGACTATTCAATATTGTATTGAATTAATTCATCACAGTAGGTATTGCTTCTGTAGAATTCAATTCAATGGTAGTGTATCTGATATTTAAATTACATGATTCAAGTATATTTATTTATTAGATCAAAGTAGCCTACCTAAATTATTTATACAATGTATTTGATTTAAATTATAATTATAAATTATCTCTAGTAATAATTCTCTGACTGTCTTATTCAGATATAATTATAATTTCATCTGATGTTTAGTCTATAATAAAGTTTGGATTATCATTTATAGATATGGTTTATAAAATGTTCAAATTGAATTATAATAAACTCAATTATCTATTATTATATCGGATTAGACTATTTTATGTAAAGTATATCTTAAATTATTGATCTTAATTATCTATTTCTTTAAATATAGTTTAATTATTTTTCAAAATATATATTGCATATTAAGTTAACAAAGCATAACATTAATTATAAATATGATATGTAATGAATACTATAGGATATTGTAAATCAAATTAAAAATACTCTTTTATAAGAATAAAAGGGTAATCTTTAGCATTTATCAATATAATCCATTAATTTTTGTTTAATATTGTTATCATTTATTATTCAATTTATACTTATACTATTTGAAGTTGAATCACAGTTTCTGTATCATTAATCATATTGTTGATATAAGTTTCATCAATTATTAATTAAGTTGTAACTGTTTCACCAAATTAAATAAATTATATTGATGACTATTTATTATCATCATCATAATACAAAACACGAATTAATATATCATCCTAAAATGCAAACATCTTTGTTTTTATTCTTTAACCTTATGTTTAATCTTAGATGTAATATTATAATTAACTTTATTCTCTTTTAAATATGAATACATTGTTTGTGTCATTATAACAATCTGCTATTAAACTATATCTATCTAATATTTCTAAATCATGACAGATATAATCTATTATTTCAAAATATTAATTGAATTCTGGTAAACGCTGATTATTTTCAATTTAATAATTATTTATGTGTATTTGATATTTTTCATTAATTTTATTCAATAAGGCATATTGATTTGTTACAGTGTAGTCTTAATATGATCTCAAACATTTAACCTTTATTATATCTGTAAAAGAATTGCTCTAATTAGAATGGATATACATATATTTTTGAATATTAATGTCACTATCATTAGCTATCAACAATATTTAAGATTGTTCTTATTTTATGAATAATTTTTAAACATTCATACTTTATGTTTCATTTATTTTATTTACTAGTACTAATTCATTGTTTGGCAATTATGTACAACACTCTGCAATTCTAACATAAAACAACAACAATATGGACTCAAATATCACAATCATTCTTATTAATTAAATATATTTATATCATTTAAACAGCATTAACTTAAAATTGATTTTTAGATCTAATTAAATTCAATAACAATATCTGTTACATACTTGAATATAATCAAACAAAACTCAAAATTAATAAAATATATAAATAATATTAGTCAACTCTAATTATTAATAGCTTCTATTGTTGCAAGTATCTTCTATTCCAAACCTTTATCACAAAATAATAATTATGGACAAATAGAGTAAAAATTCTTCTCTAATATTCTCCTTTACTTTAATGTCATTTTCTCAATAATAATTTACTCTCCAAATTTTATATTTCCATAAAAATTCATCTTTATCTAAAAAACTTTTAATTATTATATTCATTACATGATTTAAATAAACAAATTAAAGTTGACTCCTTATCTAAAATTAATATGCATGATTAAATAAATCTAAATTTCTTTAAATATCTTTATATTCTTAATATTTAATTCCCATCTATACATTTAATACTATTTTTTATTATGTACACATATAAATTTTGAATTATATAATCACTATTAAGTTACTACATTTTAGATATCTAGAAATCATAAGATTAATATAAATTATTCTTATCTTTAAATCTTAATACATTCTTTATCTAAAATACGTCTACATCATTATCATCAACCTTTATTGTTGTGATGTAAATAGGTTGTAAATCTTAGGATTCATCCATTGAGTACTCAAGAGAATCCTACTATTAAATTTTTATATCAAATTTTTCAGAAATAAATAGTCCACTTTCAAAAGCTTTTATATCAGAACTAAATTAAAATTTAAAAGTTGTGCTTAATTTAAATGTATCATCTATAAAAGGTGATCTAAAATCACTAGGCATTCTATTTTAAAATGTTTAAGATTCAGAAAACAATTCTTATTGATTATTGCTTTTATTTCTTAAATTTAAAGGCTCTTATAAACCTTCTAAATCTTTTTTCAATTCTCCTGATCCCAATAATGAATTATTCTCATATTCAAATTTTCCTAACTATCCCAACTAAGAAAGAAAATTTGTCCTACTTAATAGTTCTCCTGAATTCAAGTATTTTGCTGTCTCTTTGCCAGAATTAGGAGGGTCAAAGAAATTACTCTCCCCACTTTTAAGCATATGAAAATCTATTTATGAAGGCAATTATAATTAATTTTGATCATTTTCCTTTTTTTTAAAACTTTATTAAGATGGTTCTTATTCAATTTAATGTGATAATACATTACTATTCTATTAATTACCCTATTCAGATATTACTATCTATTATAATTATTCCTCTTCCTATTCTTGAATTTCTTAAGGTTTATCTACTTAATTCTCTATCTATTCAAAATCTTAATTGTTATTTTCTACATTTGCAGTACAACTTTTTTTTTCCTATTGTTAAATAATCTCCATATTCTATTCTTAAACATATTCTATCTTTTAATCTTCTTATAAATTTTTTGATACTTCTTATTATTATTGTACTTCACATTCTTCCTATTAATTTTAAACAATTTCTTCTTAATTTTATTCCATCTCTTCTACTAAATCTTCTTTTTTTACCTTAATTATTAATTCTTAATCATCCTAAATATTCTAAGTAGTCTCTTATTAATTTATTTATTGCTCATTATTGTTATATGATTTTTATGAATCCATAACTTCATTTTATATAATTTATGTGCCTTCACACAATTTTATAGTTTCTTAAAAGTTATTATTAATCTAATTTGAATTCTGATGAGTTTCAAAATTACTTTAATTAACTTCTACTATATCATTCTTTAAATCTGAAATGTATTATTGAAATTCTTGATGCTCTTTATTAAATATTTATGAATTTAAGGGATCCTAAAAACCATAGAATTAATTTTAATTTGTCACTTATTATTATTCTTAATTTTTAATATAATCATTGTTCAACTCATCTTTATTATCTTATTAAATTTTTTATTCTTTCTCAGATTATTAAAACTCACTTTATAAATTCATCTACTCTGAAGTATTTTTATTATTTATAATTTCTACTTAATTTTAATTATTCTAATTTATTTAAGAATTTAAAAGTTTTTAACATTCATCATTATTTTCATCCTGTATCACTTCTTGATACTAATTTTAATTTTGATCATTATTATTAATATTTTCTCCAGATTATTATTATTATTATTCTTATTATTATTATTACTCTTATTATTATTATTACTCTTATTATTATTATTACTCTTATTATTATTATTACTCTTATTATTATTATTACTCTTATTATTATTATTACTCTTATTATTATTATTACTCTTATTATTATTATTACTCTTATTATTATTATTACTCTTATTATTATTATTACTCTTATTATTATTATTACTCTTATTATTATTATTACTCTTATTATTATTATTACTCTTATTATTATTATTACTCTTATTATTATTATTACTCTTATTATTATTATTACTCTTATTATTATTATTACTCTTATTATTATTATTACTCTTATTATTATTATTACTCTTATTATTATTATTACTCTTATTATTATTATTACTCTTATTATTATTATTACTCTTATTATTATTATTACTCTTATTATTATTATTACTCTTATTATTATTATTACTCTTATTATTATTATTACTCTTATTATTATTATTACTCTTATTATTATTATTACTCTTATTATTATTATTACTCTTATTATTATTATTACTCTTATTATTATTATTACTCTTATTATTATTATTACTCTTATTATTATTATTACTCTTATTATTATTATTACTCTTATTATTATTATTACTCTTATTATTATTATTACTCTTATTATTATTATTACTCTTATTATTATTATTACTCTTATTATTATTATTACTCTTATTATTATTATTACTCTTATTATTATTATTACTCTTATTATTATTATTACTCTTATTATTATTATTACTCTTATTATTATTATTACTCTTATTATTATTATTACTCTTATTATTATTATTACTCTTATTATTATTATTACTCTTATTATTATTATTACTCTTATTATTATTATTACTCTTATTATTATTATTACTCTTATTATTATTATTACTCTTATTATTATTATTACTCTTATTATTATTATTACTCTTATTATTATTATTACTCTTATTATTATTATTACTCTTATTATTATTATTACTCTTATTATTATTATTACTCTTATTATTATTATTACTCTTATTATTATTATTATTATTCTTATTCTTATTCTTATTCCTATTATTATTATTAAAAAATATCAGATAATTCAACTTTTTAACTAAATAATTCAATATGTTAATTTTTTTCATTTTCCTTCATAATTTACACTTATACTTCTTATTCAATCTAATTATCTTCTTTGATTTCTTATTATTATTCAAGTAATTAAGTTTAGGGTTCTCCGACTACAATAATAGGTTTCTAATTAGATTATTCATGTTAATCTTTTGATATTACTAATTACGTTTCTGGTTCTACTTAATTAATGATCAATGAATATTAATTTGCAGTAATATGATTTAAGTTCAAGTAAACTTGTAATACCAATCTGGGAATATCAATTAAATTTTATTTCTATAAATCAAATATTAGACGACTGTCCTAAATTTATATTTATTTTATTAGACTATTGATGATTATATTCATTAAAGATAAAAATTCGAATGATTGTTTAGAAATGTCTTCATTAAGTAATTTTGAACAATTCTATTAATTCAAATATAATCTAAAATCTCCTTTAATCACTCCCATTCTCTCAATAAATAATAATCTCATCCGATATAAGGTATAAGAATAATTAGTAATGATTAAAAAGGTATGTCCATCTATTAACCTAACTTATTTAGATTGATGAGCTATTTTAAATTATCTTTATATTCTTAAATGCTTCATTTCAATTCTCCACCATTTTTATATAAATATTACCTTTCTTAATTTATCTTCCTTCTTTTTTTTCCATTCTATAAATCGTTTATAATCCATCCTACCTTTAATATGAGCCTAAATCAATGAAGCAGCCTTATCTTTCTTCTCTCTAAGAGTAGGTTTATGGACATTCTTTTTTATAATGAAACGAGAAGAATTAATCTCTGCATTTTTAGCTTCCTCTATTTTGTTTTGTAACATTTCTAACTCTAAGATCTTCTCTTATTTAACCCTAGTATGATAATATAATTACTTTTCTAATTCAGCTATGTCTTTTAGTATTATTTCATGTTTCTAAATATAACTTGAGTCTGATGCTTCATCTGCTTCTTCCTAAATTAGAGACTACTCAACTTTCTTAGGTTATTGTACTTATGGTTTTTATTGAGTACTCTTTATTTCATTGAAAAGATTAGCATACTTATTGGAAATAGGTAAGATAACATTATTAGGTAATTGTATTGAGGCTGTTTGAGGTCTTTTAATTGATATTTTTTGGTTTTGTTTCTTTTTAGTTGATTAGGTTGATATTACACTTTTATTTAAATGGGTTAGATTATTGGGATTGTTATTTTTGAAAACAACTGATTTACCTTTGATTTCAAAGAACTCAGGAGATATTCCATATGCTTCCATATATGGTTTAATTCTTTATTAAATTAGTCTCCTTTAAGGTTTTGTTGGAGAAGTGTAGTCCTTCACTTGTACTTTGATTAATGAATTATTTATCATATTATAATCAATAGTAGAGTAATTTCTTTGATTATCTTTATGGTGTTTTCAATTGAAGCATTTCAGTTTTCAATTTATACACTTCATTTTACAAATCATTATAGAGACACTTAAACATGACTCTTTACTTTTAGATTTTATATTTGATCTAATAGAAATTAGATGATAATTACATAATTCTCATTTTCAAATGCTTTATTAAGTCTTTCAGTAAGAATATTGATTGTTTGATCCTTTTCTTTTAATTTTTTGGCATTTTATATACTTCTACTTGAACTTCTTTATGTATTTTATTGCTTGATATTTTAAGGACTTTAGAAATGACTTTGACTTCTTTTGATTTATGATTACAATTTCTATATTAGTTTTTCTTATTGTTTAATAGTTTCAATAAGTTTCAACTTGGACATTCTGTTATAATTTAATAGTAAATTATAATTGAAATGACAGAAGAAAATCATAATTTCGGTGATGCTTAAGATGATGAAGATGCTTCATTTAATAATAGCAGTAGAATTCAATATGAAGTCAATGAAGAATTTAGAAAGGTTTCAGAAAATAAATTATAAGTAACAAAAGTAAATGAAGAAAATAATGTTTGTACAATTAAATTGTCACGTACAAAAAGTGCAGAAAAACAATAAGATCATATGATGATTTTATTGTTGTCTTTACTTGATAGAGAATTATATATTAAGTAGGTTAGTTTTAAAGTCGACAGTTGGAAAGTCTATGCTGAAAGTGAGAAATTGACATAATTAGTCAAACAAAGTCAACACACTTCTACATTAGAATTGATTAAAAGTATTGTACCAGAAGTTTGCAACATTGTTTTATCATTTGAGATACCTGCAAATAGTGGAAAAAAATCAGATAAGTAAGAATTTGGAAGAGCCCATACTCATACTCAACCAATACCTTATTAAGGATTTTCTACTTGTTGTTGGTCTCCTTAAGGTCATTTAATTACTGTACACAATACTGCAACAAGTCATTAGAAATAAGCAAAAGATTAGAAAGCTTAATATACAACTTTATAGGAATTAAATTCATTTGTGTTTTCATAACCAAAAAAAAAACAATCCAATCAATAATAGAGACATGTTGTTGAAATTAGAGAAGATGAAGAAAATCTATAACCTTTTTTTTAAGCTGGAATTTAATTAATTTCAGAAAAGGAAGATGAAGCCTATGATTATTTGAATTTCTAATTCTATTATCACTATTTTCCTTAATTTCATTAATAGGAAGTACCTAAAGAATAAAAAGTTGAGAAAGTATCATTTTATAAAGATTATGAAATTTATGATTTGCATAATAATCCAGATGTAATTATTTTAGGAGAACAATTTAAAAATTTATCTAAAAAAGTTTATGAATAATAAGATAAAAAGACAGTTATCAATTAAAATGTTGAAATTAGTGTAATAATAATATTTAAATATTTTTAGATTTATGATTTTGGTAGTTATTCTTTCCATGTTGATAATATTACATCTCTACATGAATATTTTACTAGTCATATGAAAAAGAATAATAATAATACTAATATCAATAATCCATTAAAAATCTTATTTCAACCATTAGAGGAATATTTTAAATTATATAATTCAAGTATAGCCAATTTTGTTCTTACAAGTGGAGTTACATGTAATTAAATCAATAATATTATTTAGTGGATCTTTAAGAATACAATATGAAAATCCTAAAAATATTATCTGATTGCATCTATTAATAATAATTAAAAAAAGTTTAACATTAAGAAATGAATTTAATAAAAGACTTTTAAGAATATTTCAAAAAATTATGGAATTCTTAATATTAGATTTATAGATTATATGATTAAATTGCTTATTCTATTAAGAAAAGCAATTTAAAAGATACTAAAAAATTATTAGATTGTGTATATTAATTGAAATTAGAATCTAATATTGAAATGAAAGATTAAATAAAAGATTTAATTAAAGATGAAATTAGTAAATATAATAGTTAACCAAATCCAAAATTATTTGTTAAAGGAACATAAATTATCTCAACCTATGATAACTTTTAGAAAATATAAAATGAATGTCCTATTTATATTATTTGGAATTAACTCAATAATTTTCCCTTAATAGTAAGTGATAAAGTGGAATTTAGCAAATTAAATGTTTTGAAAACAGCTCTTAGAGCTTAAAGTCCTATAAATTTCTGCATTTATAAAAAATTAAAATCAACTAGTTTTTAGGTTGGTAATTTTAGAGATTTGTTAAATAATGAAATATATGGTTAGGGACCCTTATAATTGGGAAATGTGAAGTAAAATTAAAATAAGACAATTTGTTCAATTTGTTAACAAATTATCACTAGTCATGGATTATTTTGTAGTTCATGTCAACATGGAGGCCACTATGAACATATGTTATAATGGAAGTAGACATGCCCAGTTTGTGATTGTGATTGTAGAAAATGATATCAATACATATTATAAATTATTTCCTCCCTTTAATTTGATTCACTATTTTAAATAACATGAAAAATTTGAATCATAAGAACAACCATTTAGGTATCCATTTATTTCTAACTTTTAGCTATCAATGAAACATAATTTATTTATGGGAAAAAACTAGTCAAGAATAATTATTATTATGCAGTTAAATGGTCAGGATAATCTATTTCCCATATGTCTTGGGAGAAATAATCTAATTTCACTGAAGAATCATCCTATTTAATTAGGTAGTATATTTCAATTATAAATTTTTATATAGACGCTTCGAAACTAGAATTTGTTATTTATTCTTCAATAAAAAGATTTACCCCTCTCAAGATGGTATACGAGTTCATGTTAAAGGCAAATTTTGTTAAGTTTATATTTCTAAGGTGAATCAAAAAAGTAAATCTATTTAAGATCATTAATGGAAAATATAAAATATTTCAAACAAATTCATTTCAACTTAATCCATAATCAATTAAAACTTAAAAGATGTTACTCTTAATACTTAGGATTCTAAATTAGATTCAAAAAGAGTTGTAGTAGAATTTGCTCATTTACCTCCTTTTATTGGAGATAAATAGATCAAATAGATGATTGTTACTTCCTAATCAATTACAAATCTAACTTAGGTTGTTAAGTAGGAATCAACAATTTAAAGAGATATTAAATTATTAAACTAAATAGAAAAAGCTTAAAAAATAATAAATGAATAATAAAAATATTCATAAATAGAAGTTCAAAATGAGTAACAAAAATTGAATAATTAAAAATCCTAGATCTAAAATAATAATAAAATATATAAAAAAAATTCAAAGAAGGCAAACTCAAATGAATAGAAAAATACAATTAATAAATTATAATAAACAATAATTTAGAATAAATAAGAATCATCTAAAATCATAATGAAAAGATAAACATTAGATTAAGAAAAGAAATAGAAATAATAATTTCAATCATCAAGTGAAATTATTTCTATTGAAAATGATAATGAATCTTTTTAATTAGAATTATTTAATTTTGAAGAGAATTTTGATAATAAATAAGTAAATCCAAATATTTCACAAACGGTTAATTAAAATGATAATAGAAACAGTTAATCAATTTTAGAAAGACCCAATAAAGAGTTAAAAAAAGAAAAATGTAGAGCAGTAAAATCAGGAAATTTATTATCATTTTAAAATATAAATACTTAAAAATAAGTAACATCAATCATTACTAGTAATAATAATAATAATAATAATGATAATACTTATTAATCAATTAATCATAAATTGAATAATTACCAAAATAATTTTAATGATAATTCTAACTTTAATGACAATAACAGTGATAATGATAATAAAAATAATCTGAATAGATAACAATTTATCAACAAAAATGACAGTATAAGCTCTATAAATCCTTTTACCTTGTATTAAAATAATAACTATTCTGAAGAAAAGAAATTTGAAAAAGATGCCTCTTTAGATTAAATTATATCCTAAAAACAAAATGAAAATGATAATTTAGATTAAATTATATTCAAAGAACCAAAATAATAGATTCAGGTAAAAACAAGTCAGTAAATTTAATAAGAAATCTAAAGACTTCATTTAGATAGAATTGCTTAAAATAAACCAAGTAGGTGCAGTGTACCTATAATACCAAAAATAAAAGATGTAGAAATTTAAGTTTATTTAATTGATAATAATTAATTAGAGATGATTCAGTATGATTAAGAATTAAATTAAATAAAAAGTCACAATATTATCATTACAACTATATGTTCACATCAGTTAATGAATGAGTAATTGTTTTTTCAATGTAAATACGATAATGGAGTAGAATATTTTGTTGAATTCGATGAGTTGAAAGTCTATAGCCCTAAAAAACTGTTGGATTATATGAAATAAAATTCTATATTTATTTGATTTTATTTTTCTAACTATTCAAATATCTAGTAAAGAGGATAGAAAAACAATTAGATGAGATCACTTTTATCTCTTATATCTTTATAGATATTGTTCTATCATTTTTTCATCTATTTTTATTATCAAAAGCAAATAACTAAGACTAATTTAAATAAAAGAAAATCTGTTATCTCCTATTTTAGATATGTGTACTATTACTAATTAAAATTCTGAAACAACTTTTTCTTCATTTCCATCAATATCTATATAAAATTGAAATTAATTTTGCTCTTTAAAAAAACTATAATAATTTATATAATAACCCAATCAAAGTTTAATTCCTTCAAAATTTCTTTTATATCTTATAAAGTTAAATTAATTTATTAATTTTTAGTAATATATTGTTATTATGCAACCAATATTAATACAATCAAAATAAAAACAACTAAAATTGCAATTAATAGTTTGAATAATATATTTGAATATTTTATGTATTGGCTTGATTTTTTAATATCAAAAATAATCTATTTAACAATATATGGATTGAAATAAAAAAGTGTAAATTGAATGCAGAAATTTTATACAATATTTACTCTTTTATTATTAATTGATAATTAATATAAAATTTGAAAAATAATAATAATAATTTATAATTAATTAAGAATTACAATAATGTTAAATATATAATAAATAAAAACTTATTCTATGTATTAAATTAAATTAATTAATTTTTATTATAAATAAATTTTAGGAATTGAAGAATTATATTTATTTCTAAAATTTATATTTTGTTTACTAAATAATCTAAAACTACCTAAATCAGATAAGTTATTTCTTATTTTATATTAATTGATCAATTTTTGATTATTTTACAAATGTCGTTTCATCCAATTATTATTTAGTCTAGTTTTTTAGAGAATATTATACACATGTTCTTAATAAAAGGTTTCCTAGCTGATTATATTTTTTAGTTATCTTATTTATTATAATAAATTTTAAATATTGATAAATTCTAGTTGTATATTGGAATCACAGAATTCTAAATTGCTATTTTTATACAGTTTTAATTAAAATTTACACCAATAATTTATGTAAGAAACAGAAATATAGCCTTAAATTGAAGCTGGAAGACTTAATGACACAGTTTAGAGTGCTAAAAGTTTAAGATGTAGAAGAGTAGTAGATATTGCATTTTAGAATATCGAATATTCAGTGGTTGATCAGAAAGGAAGTAAGATTTTCCTATAAAATTCATAGAAAAAAGAGATATTCTGCGTAATCTAGATGGATTTTGTCCAGGAGGAGAGGTTACCGCTATTTTAGGAGCATCTGGTGCTGGTAAAACATCATTGCTGAACATACTTGCTGCTCGTGTTTATAGTTCTAAAACAGTCAAATTAAAGGGAAAAGTGCTTGCAAATCAAATGGAGTATGATTCTGAGACATTTTCAAATTTTGCTGCTTATGTTATGCAAAATGATGTTCTTTTTGAAACTTTAACTCCTAGAGAAGCATTAAAATTTGTTGCAGATTTAAAGTATACAGATCCAGAATTGAAATAATCAAGAGTAGAAGACACTATTAGGACAATGAAATTAGAAAGATGTTAAAATGCAATAATAGGAGGTCCAACATTAAAAGGAATATCAGGAGGAGAAAGAAAAAGAACGTCAATTGGATTTGAATTAGTTACTAACCCATCATGTATTTTATTAGATGAACCTACTTCAGGATTAGATTCATTTACAGCATTTTAAATTATGTAATATTTTATTTTATATGTTAGATATGAACTTTAATTACTAGCTCATGATTAAGATAGAACCATTATATTTACTATTCATTAGCCATCATCAGATATCTATTTACTTTTCGATAGAATCATGTTATTAGTTTAAGGAAAATTCATCTACTAAGGACCCAGAACTAAATTGGTTGGGTACTTTAAAGGGATAGGATTTCCTTGTCCAGATCATAGTAATCCAATGGATTATATGATGAGTATAATGCATCAAGAAAGTCAAATTAATATAGATAATTTTCCTATCTATTTTGACTAATATGAAAAATAATTATAATAATTGGTGTTAGATGAAATCAAAGAATCCTCAAAAACTGAATTAGTATATAAATAAGTAGAGACTTCTACTGCATTTTAAATAAACTTAATTGCTAGAAGAGCAATAAAAGGATTTTTAAGAGATAAAATGATTGTTAAGTAAAGAGTAGGTATGGCAATTTTCATGGGATTATTACTTGGATATTCATACTATGGTATTGGAGAATAGTCAGGAACATTAGCAGATTATACTAGTATGTCTGGATGTATGTTCTTTCTTTGCATAAATCTTACTATGAGTTCATTGTTTCCAGTTGTGTTATAATTTGCAACAGAAAGAGATGTATTTTTGAGAGAAGAGAATTCAAAATTATATACAACGTTTTCATATTTCATGGGAAAATCATTTGTTGAAATACCTTTTTGTCTTATAACACCAATTATTTAAGAATTAATTCTTTATTGGATGATTGGACTTAATTCTGAGAATGGTGGAGTTGTTGTAGCACATATATTCATTACTATCCTCACTTGCTTAAATGGTAATAGTATGGGATTAATGGCTGGATGTGCATTCAATGATATTAAAGTGGCTACAAGCATTGTACCTTTAATATTATTGCCTTTAATTATTTTTTCAGGATTCTTTGCAAATTCAAAGTAATTTTTTGTCTGGATTGGATGGATTTAATATATAAGTCCTGTTAAATATTCATTCGAAGCTTTAGCTACAAACGAGTTTGAAGGAAGAAGTTATGAGTTTGGTGATCCTATTGAAACTCTTGGATTTGAAGTTGGCTTATGGGAATCCGTAGGAATTCTAATTGCTTTTGCTGTAGCTATAAGATTCGGAGCTTATATGTTTCTTAAGATTTTAAGATAAAAATAATAATGATTGTTTAATTAAATTTCATTTCTTAATAATTAATTTTTAAATCAAATTATTTCAATTTTATCAGTTTTTTTTTTAAAGTATAAATTATTCTATATGATAAATGAATTTAAGAAACTGAGAATTCTAATAAATTTTATTTAGTTATTTTTAATACAAAGACAAAATGTAAGTCTATGATATTAGTCATGCTGTTAATGACACAGTTGTTAGTGCTAAGAGTGTTTATCACTAAAAGGCAATAGATCTGTCATTTCGCAATATAAACTACAATATACAATCTAATAGAGGAGGTAAATCATTAATATATCTTCAGAAAGAAGAGAAATTTTAAAAGATTTAGATGGTTTTATACCTGGAGGAGAAGTTACAGCAATTTTGGGATCTTCTGGAGCAGGCAAAACTTCATTGCTAAATATTTTAGCCTGTAGAATTGCATAAACTCATCATGTAAGATTGACAGGTAAAGTAATGGCAAATTTGAATGAATATTCCCCTGAAACTTTTTCCAGTTTTGCTGCTTATGTAATGCAAAATGATGTTTTGTTTGAAACATTAACTCCAAGAGAAGCTTTTTAATTTGTAGCTAATCTTAAATTTGTTTCTGAAGACGAGAAAAATCATCATGTGGATGAAGTGATAAAAACAATGAAATTAGAAAGATGTTAAAATACAATGATAGGAGGTTTAACATTAAAAGGAATATCAGGAGGAGAAAGAAAAAGAACATCAATTGGATTTGAATTAGTTACTAATCCTTCATGTATTTTATTAGATGAACCTACTTCAGGATTAGATTCATTTACAGCATTTTAAATTATGTAATATTTTATTTTATAATTTTAGAAACGAATTAAGAAATTTAGCTCATAGATTATAAAAAACAATTGCCTTTACAATTCATCAACCTTCATCTGATATTTTTATGCTTTTTGATAGAGTTATGTTACTTGTTTAAGGAAGATTTATATATTAAGGTAGTAGAAGTTAGTTAGTTGATTATTTTAAAATGATTGGGTTTGAATGTCCATAAAGGACAAATCCTATGGACTATATGATGAGCATAATGCATACTGAAAAGGAATAAAATATCAAGAATTTTGAAATTCTATTTGATTCATATGAAAAATTCTAGAAGCCAGAAGTTTTAGAATGCATTGAAAAATCTTCAAGAGTTGATTTGACTTATAAAAAAGTAGAAACGTCTACAAATTATCAAATAATGTTAATTACTAAAAGATCTATAAAAGGTCTATTGAGAGAGAAAGCAACCTTAAGATAAAGATTTGGAAGTACTATATTTATGGGATTATTGGTTGGTGGAGCTTTTTATGGATTAGGTGATAATAATGGAAGTTATTCAGATTATTCTGGGGTAGCAGGATGTTTATTTTTATTAACTATGAATTTAACAATGACCTTTCTTTTTTCAGTTGTGTTACAATTTGCAACAGAAAGAGATGTATTTTTAAGAGAAGAGAATTCAAAATTATATACAACATTTTCATATTTCATAGGAAAATCATTTGTTGAAATACCTTTTTGTCTTATAACACCAGTTATTTAAGAATTAATTCTTTATTGGATGATTGGTCTTAATACTCATAGTGTTGGTGTTGTATTTATTCATTTATTGGTGGCTATTTTAACATCTTTAAATGGAAATAGTATAGGATTAATAACAGGATGTGTTTTTAGTGATATTAAAGCTGCTACCAGTATGGTATCTATTCTATTATTACCATTTATAATTTTTTCTGGGTATCTTGCTAATTCAAAATATTTTTATGTTTGGATTAGTTGGATATAGTATATAAGTCCTATGAAATATTCTTTTGAAGCTTTTGCAACAAACGAATTTGAAAAAAGATAATATGTATTTGGAGATCCTATTGAAACTTTAGGATTTGATATTGGTCTATGGGAATCAATTGGAATATTGATTGCACTTGCAATTTTTATAAGGATTATGGCATTTATATTTCTTTATAAATTAAGATCAAGATTATAATGATGAGAATTATAAAATTGAATTATAATTTATTATAAAATAATGATTGATGATTCACAATAAATAATAAAAGAATTGATCTAAAGTAATTCAATTCAACAATTAATTGAATTTATGAGCAAAGTCAAACCAAACATATTGAATTTAGATTGTGGCAAGAAATAAACTAGTAAATATTTCCATATAAATCTAGTTCTACATATTGCAGTTCAGAGAAATGATTATGCCTTTCTGAAATATCTTGAACAATATTCTTTTGATAATTATAAAGAGAATGAGATTAGAAAATTAGTTAACACCTACAATATAGAAATATTCACAGCCCTTCATATTGCATCTTACAATGGAAATGTGGTATTATTATTGTATTTAAATAAGTAAGCCGTGAAGATCTTAATAAATATGGGCGCTGATTCTGCTCTTAAAAGTGGATCTGGTTTATTGCCCATACATGCAGCAGCTTAAGGAGATTAACCATATATGGTGGTATGATGTTTGTTTTAATAAAAGTGGTATTGGATGTAATAAGGCATTTCAATAAATGCTCAAGATGATGCAGGAAATACTTGCTTGCATTGGGCAACATATTAGAAGTAATATACTATTTTTGAGGTTATAGTTGTGAATTAACTGTGAGCTATTTGATTTCATTTGGTTGCAATATCGATTCAAAAAATAATGAATAATAAACTGCATTACATATTGGGGCATCTTATGGATAATCTAAAGTGGTTAAGAAATTATTAATTAAGGGAGCTTAAAGAAATATATAAGTAATTTGATAATTTTCTATTTAGGATGTAGATGAATAGTTACCAATCAATTTGGCAGAATCTAGTTAAATTAAAAAGATGCTTGAGAACAAAATCGATTTAGCGTTATTCTATAATTTGAAACAACCATATCATCCAATTAAAAGAAATAGAAAATCAGTATCTGTTTACTACTTTGTTATTTTAACATCTTAATTTTGTATTGGATACATATTATGGGAAATGTAGGGAATATTCTTGTAAATTTTTATGGTTTTTCTGTCTATTCTATTAATTGTTTCAATTCTAGCATAATGTTGTGATCCAGGAATTATTACTCTACATATTACTGTAGAAGAGGCTATGAATTAATAAATAGATCCTATCAATATCTGTCCAGATTGTTGGGTTATTCGACCTTAAAGATCTAAACATTGTGAATTCTGTAAAAAATGTGTAGTTGTTTATGATCATCATTGTCCATGGATAAATAATTGTGTTGGTGCTAAGTAAATCATAGATTAAATATATGTAGAAACTTAATTTATTTTTATGTTTACCTGATGACCCTAATTCTAATTTAGATTTATTCAGCTACTATAATCGTTTTATGTATTTACATTTAGTTATTTAGATTTTTTTTAATCTGAAAGCTTATCTTTATACAACTATCTATTAATGTTATACCCTATCTTAAATATATTGATTTTTATTACTCCAATTTTGTAAGATTTCATTTCTACTTATTAGTCTTCTATGTATATACTAGACAAAGAATTTGTATTATGGAATCACTACTTATGAAAGAATAACTGGATAAAAAACTAACATGAAGTCCAGCTTATTAGATCCTTAAGTAAGTATTATGTATTGATATTTCATAAGGAAAACATTCAAGATTCATAATCCGAAGAAATAAAAATAGAACCATCTATTTAAAATTGTTTTAATTAATGCTTTAGAAATTAGAACAAATTTAAAAAATATACATAAAGTTGATTAAATTACTAATTTTTTGTCATATTTTCACATTTCTTTTAATTTTAAATGCCCTTTATACTTTTTATTATTATTATTACTGCACTTATTATTATTTTTTTGTTTCTGATTTAGTTCGTGCTTTGCCTTAACTTTATGTTCTCATTTATCTAGCATCTAAATCAACTTCTGAGAATGGATATTACTTAACTGGAACTTATTCATACTAAGATCTTCTGAATTATTACTTTTATTATTATTATTATTATTATTATTATTATTATTATTATTATTATTATTATTATTATTATTATTATTCTTATTATTGCTGTTTTTTTTCTTTCTTTATTTCTTAAGCCTTTTAATATTTTGTCAATGGTTTTTATACAACAACATCTAAATTACCTTCTAAATTATCTTTTATCTATCCATTACATATATATTCATAAAATGCTTTCAAAACTCTATTCAATTATTCTTTGTTATTTATAAACCTAAATAAAAAATTATTAATTTACTTTAAAACCTTCCTTAAATATGGTTCAAATCTGTAATGCATAGTTCTCATTATATTATAAGCTAAAAATGATCTTAAATTAGCTAAAGTCTTAAAAGGAGATGCTGATAATCTACTCATAGGATTTATAAGATTGAAGTCTAAAAATGCATTTACTATACCAACACCTACTTATTCGTAATCTTAAATTGTAAAAAAATAAGACTTTGGATTTGATGTTTAGACAGATCCCAATATAATATTTTCATCTAATTAATCATCTGTGTATGAATTATCTTATTTTTTAATATAAATTTTACTTCCACTTTCTTCATACATGATATTAGTAATTCTTCCTGTATTATAATTACATTCTAGAGTGTAACTATGAAGAATGCCACAAATCTTATAAAAAGCTACTCTTCCAGAACCTTCCTTACTTAATCCATCTCCTTTATCTGCAGCATACATATTTTTTTCAGTAAAATTACATGCATCATAATCAAAGATCTCTGAATACAAACTAATTAATCTTGGTATTATGCAATTTGATGTATGTTAACTTAATGATGGTAATTAATTTCCATAAATAAATACTCCCTTATGACCAGCATGAGCATGTAAATCAATATATCCATAAAATCTATCTGTATTTTGAAGTCTCATTATATATTCTTTTATAGCATAAATTGTTGGATGATCCTCCTTAGAAGGTGATAAATAATATCTATTCAGATTTTAACATAATGAATCAGTCCTATAATGTCCCCTATACACACCATCAGGGTTTATAATAGGTACGATACACCAAACAAACTTTTCTCTTGCCACCTATACAACAGGATCATATGCGTTTAGTAAATATTTCATTAATCCATTATTAACAAAAGATCCTGGCACTTCCCCTGGATGAACTCTAGCAGATATAAAAATGTGTGGTTTTTTGAATTAAAAAGGTCTACTTTAAGGGAATAATCCTGGTATAGATTCCTCCTTAATTTAAGATGATCCATTAGTTATTGTAATTAGATTAATAGGTCTACCCTCTTTTGAGTAAGCCAGTACTGAATTATCATNATTATTATTATTATTATTATTATTATTATTATTATTATTATTCTTATTATTGCTGTTTTTTTTCTTTCTTTATTTCTTAAGCCTTTTAATATTTTGTCAATGGTTTTTATACAACAACATCTAAATTACCTTCTAAATTATCTTTTATCTATCCATTACATATATATTCATAAAATGCTTTCAAAACTCTATTCAATTATTCTTTGTTATTTATAAACCTAAATAAAAAATTATTAATTTACTTTAAAACCTTCCTTAAATATGGTTCAAATCTGTAATGCATAGTTCTCATTATATTATAAGCTAAAAATGATCTTAAATTAGCTAAAGTCTTAAAAGGAGATGCTGATAATCTACTCATAGGATTTATAAGATTGAAGTCTAAAAATGCATTTACTATACCAACACCTACTTATTCGTAATCTTAAATTGTAAAAAAATAAGACTTTGGATTTGATGTTTAGACAGATCCCAATATAATATTTTCATCTAATTAATCATCTGTGTATGAATTATCTTATTTTTTAATATAAATTTTACTTCCACTTTCTTCATACATGATATTAGTAATTCTTCCTGTATTATAATTACATTCTAGAGTGTAACTATGAAGAATGCCACAAATCTTATAAAAAGCTACTCTTCCAGAACCTTCCTTACTTAATCCATCTCCTTTATCTGCAGCATACATATTTTTTTCAGTAAAATTACATGCATCATAATCAAAGATCTCTGAATACAAACTAATTAATCTTGGTATTATGCAATTTGATGTATGTTAACTTAATGATGGTAATTAATTTCCATAAATAAATACTCCCTTATGACCAGCATGAGCATGTAAATCAATATATCCATAAAATCTATCTGTATTTTGAAGTCTCATTATATATTCTTTTATAGCATAAATTGTTGGATGATCCTCCTTAGAAGGTGATAAATAATATCTATTCAGATTTTAACATAATGAATCAGTCCTATAATGTCCCCTATACACACCATCAGGGTTTATAATAGGTACGATACACCAAACAAACTTTTCTCTTGCCACCTATACAACAGGATCATATGCGTTTAGTAAATATTTCATTAATCCATTATTAACAAAAGATCCTGGCACTTCCCCTGGATGAACTCTAGCAGATATAAAAATGTGTGGTTTTTTGAATTAAAAAGGTCTACTTTAAGGGAATAATCCTGGTATAGATTCCTCCTTAATTTAAGATGATCCATTAGTTATTGTAATTAGATTAATAGGTCTACCCTCTTTTGAGTAAGCCAGTACTGAATTATCATAATATATGTCTGGTACTTAAAGAGACATGGCTTAACATAGTTATAGAAAATTCTATAACTATTTAGTTTTAATACATCATTATCTTCACAACTCCAAGGGTAGAAAAAAGCAAAATAAACTGTTGAATCATTAAGGAAATTATGTCTAAAAGTTATTTCAAAATGACCTTCTGGAACTAAGCGATATTAGCATGGCTATTTTAATCTTTCCCATTATGAAGAATTACAATTTCTAAAGACTGGCTGCATACCATCTTTGAAAAGTCCCATCTATCATGAAGATGTAATTAGTTACTTAGTTTTGCAGATTTGCAATAACAAATGTAAGTTCTCCTTCATTCACTCCAGACACTGAGAAGTAAAACCATGTTCTATAATTAGTTGTTTTACCATTTATTCCCCAATCACTTGATATATTAAGGATGAACTTAATAATGTTATAATTTTAGTACTCTTCCACTATTTTCTTTGCGAACACTCTTTAGATTCCCAGAATCAAATGCACTTGAAAAAGTGATTCCTTGAATGGTCTCAGTAATCTAAGATGGGTATTCTGTAGTATTATTCATCATTCGAATTAATATTTATAACAAGTGACAGTTTATAAAGTTTAATATTAGATAACAATTAATTATAATCAAAACAATTCTGAATAATATTATCATTAACAAATCTATTCAATGAAAATCCTATTTTTTAATTTTTTATTCATACTTAAAGAGTAATCATATTTATTATGATAAATGATTTTTAAAAAGGATTTTGAATCTTAAATTCTTATCATCTATAATTCATCACATTAATACTCAATATGAAATAAAAAGAGTTTTATTAATGAATAGTAAAAATATTTTATTATAAAAATTAAATTTTTGAAAATTATATGTGATGATCAAAAATCTTAATTAAATAGTTTTAAATTATGAATAAAGCTTTGAAATTGAAGATATTTAAATATGATTTATAAGAATTATTAACGAAATAAATTTAATTAAATACTTTCCTGATAAATTATATTGTTATTAAATCCAAAAAAATTATGAAACCATTTAAGCTTTTTTAAAAAATTATGATGTATAATTTACTCTCATTGTAATAATAATAATTATATATTATTTTAATAACAAATTATATAATCAATTTATTTAATTTAAGAAATCTATCTAACAATAATTAATAAAAGTATTGAAATTTAATTCTATTTTATTTATATATATTTTTCTATAAAAATAATCAAAGTTTTTCATCACTAAGTATTTATGGCTTTTATTTCATCCCATTCATAATATTTGTGGTATTATTTATTATACTAATAATATAAGAAATAAATTATACTGCTTTGTGATAGGACCTTAAACCAATCAATTTCTATTAATTGTTTTATATTTGATTTAATTCTGTTTTTGATCTATTAACTTAACTTTATGATATAGCATTTTAATTATTTGATCTATTTTATGAGTTTTGCTGTTAATTTTCATTTTAGGTTAATGCCGATTATTTAATTTGACTTTAAGCTAAAGGTAATTATTCTATTCTAATATCTTGATTCATTATGGGAATTTCATTATTATTAATACCAATAGGTATTTATAATTCATTCATTAATTTGAGATATTTTTCCTTATAAACAGAGGGAGCTAACATCATTTGAAATTAAGTGAATTTTAGATCTTCATCTATTTATTCCTTTTTTAGAACTAAAATAAATTAGTTTATTTTACATTTCAAAAATGGTCTTTACTCTTATAACTCTAATCCATTTGAATTATTTTTTTTAATTTAGTCATTACAACAAGCAAAACATTTAGAAAACAATCCAACTACAGGTTTGTAACAAAAGAAGAATAAGAATATTATAAGGATTAGAATAGCAAGTATTGCGAGTAAAATAATATTAGGAATTTAACTCCATGATCTATCCCACCATTCTACTACTACATTTTATTATCCATAGACATCTTATAATTAATCGATCACTAATTTAGCTTCAAGTGTTTCATAAAATAAATTAGAACTTCCATAAATATAGGTAGCAAAGCCCAAATGAATAACAACAGCAATCCACAAATATTTTCTCACAGATTCACTTATTATTGAATCTATCCTGATTGGTTTTCGATATGTAGTGAAAACTAAGAAAATTAATTCTATTTAATTACTTGAAATCTTATCCACAAAGTATAAGAACCAAATTGTTAACATAGTAATAAAATATAGGAATGGAAGAGCAGGAGTATACATGAAACAAATATATAGGGCTGTCAAAACTTAAGCATATCTTAATTCAACTCTAAATTATTCTCCTTTATATAGATCTTTGAATTCTTAATAGTTTTTTTTTTTAGTTTTTTTCTAATTTAAACAACAAGAACTTTAATCATAGGCCTATCTTATGTATCTAATGATTATTTCAACTAAAAGCATAACTGGTTATGTCAGAATATTTATTAATAAAGTTAATAACTATAGTAGATGATATATATATACCAAAACAATTCCTATATTTTAACACCATTTTGAATCTATATCAGCATACTTTCCCCCAAAAAGAAATCTAATAGTTTCAGGAGCATCATTTCTAGCAGAATTACCAAAATCAATATTTGTAATAAGAAGAATCAATCCAGTATTTAAAAATTGACCTAAAAATATTTTTAATATTCTGCTAGAATATTCTTAGGAAATCATCAAATGTTTCTCCCATTATGATAAAACTAAAAATAAGATTATTCATACAAATGAATATATATTAAATAATAACATTTACACCAATTAATCCTCCTACAATAATCCAAGGTAATGATTATTAAAATGTATATTATGTAACCCAATCTTAACATATTTCATATTACCCTTATAAAATTTCATTAAATTTCGGTTTACAATAACATTCAACATAACCTTTAATTGCTATACTTCCATCATCATCAATTTCTTGTTGAACCTAATCTTCAGTAATATTGTCATAGATTTTATTATTGCAATTAATTGAAGGGTATTTTTATTAGAAATCTGTCTTTTAAAGATTCACCCAACTTACCAAAACCCATGAACCTGCTAAAAGAACAAGAGTTATAAAAAAACTACAAAACTATCTCATAATTCTTTGTTTAAGAGAATAATTAAGATTATTCCAATTTATATTTTCAGGAATAGGAGCATCCTTAATTTATAACTTAAATTTTTTTAATAATCTAAATTATTATTAATAAGTACAATTTATTTTTTTTTTCATCTTCATCAAAACAACAAAAACAGCAATAATAATATAGCCAATCTTTTGGTAAACTTTAAAGTTATTCTTAAACTTGTTATTTTTATCTCATTGTATCAAAAGTAACCCAGATGTATTTAGAATCACCTTCCGATTATATTTGATCAATCTTTTAAGATAATTCATCTATTTCAATCCAATGTTTTTATATGATTTTATCAATTTTAATTAAATTTTGTTAATAATTAGGATCTTCACAAGAATGTAAAAAATATTAATAAAATTTCTAATATGTTTCTTTTGACATAATTTATTCATTAATATGTTGTTATGCTTCTTGATAACATTAAGATTTATTAATTCTCAATTCTTCTAATTAATTTGAAATCATTTATTTTTTATGTTTTAATTCTGATTACAATTTTAATATTTTTTCTTTTTCTGAAACTTGAATATCATAAATCTATAAATCTTAATCTTTTAAAACAGACTTTAATTTTTAATCAATAAAATTTTTCACTTCTTAAAGTAATTATTATTTAATTTGTTTATATTCTTTATTTTCTTACTTTTATAAAGTTCTTATTAATTCTTCACATTTTGGTAAATTTGATATTTAAAGAGAAAAGTGTTATAAGGTGGGTGATTCCTTTTGTGAAATCTTAGTATACTTTTTTTCACTAGCAGTTAAACAAATTAAAAAATATATGAATAATAAGACTATTACTGCATCACAAGATGCAAAGATAATTGGTATTATTTTTTATTACAATTAAATAGGTCCAATTGTAATCTTGGCATCTTTACATTATGCTCCAGCAAATATTTTCATTCCTTTTATGTCTTCATTGTTAAAATCAGATTATGTTAAAGTAAATGAATATTCATCTTAAGAATCAATCTCTTATCTTAATAAATTCAATCGATCTTAATTAGTTATATTTAAATTCAATTCAGCTTTACTAATATAAATACAATCTTATTCGTTTGAACTAATAACACCATATAAAAATGATGGTCCAGCAAGATTTCCTGAATCACATTTCAAATTAAATTCTATTGGTGTATAATTAGAATCAAAAGATTATATTTAACAATCTTTATTATTCAAACTAGTAGCACCAATAGTAGTTGCCATTAAAAATTCAAATGGATTAGAAGAATCTCTAGCTTCACTTCCAACATAAGCTATTATAATTTTCTTTAAGTACATAATACGCTAAAGAATAATTATGGTATTGAAAATATCGTAAAAATAATAAAAAAGTATCCTAACTTTTTTAAGAATCTGAAATATAGATTAACACCAACTCCAAATTATTTAAAATGAGGTCTTGTATTTTATGAACCGCAACAAAAAGTATGAGAACCAATTGGAAGACAACATACTTCACAACATTTTTTACTTTATTTTTCTTTTTTATTAATCTATATAATTATAAGTACTAACTATTACTTTCTAGAAAAATGATTAAGGCGAATTAATTTATTCTTCAATACGTGCCATATAGATACTTTTTCTAAAATCTGCTTGACTTTTGCCTTTTTAACTTTAATTAAAATTTGTATTCGTTCTCTCATTTTAATGAACTTAAAACTCAATTAATGGTTGATCCTCCCTATATTATTAGTAAACTATAAACTACTATCCAATTTGTTCTACTTAAGTAAAATTAGGTGGAATTTCTTTTTTTTCACTTTATTATTTCTGATCCTAATTTATTCCTTGTGGCTCAACTTAGTTTGTATCAGATCTCTAAGGAGAATTCTCTTTATTTTAATTGTTTTGGCTATCATTGTTACTCATAGTAATATCAGTATTAGATAATTATCAGATAGAAAATATAATTTATAAGTTTATTTAATTTTTGTGTTGAATTAATAGAATACTTTTATAGACAAAGCATTCTAACATTTTTGTTTTGAAGTGAATTAATTATTTAAAGTCATATTATCTCTTCATTTAGACTGTTCTGAATTGGTATACAATATATTTTCAATTTAGAAAATCGATTTTTATTTATAAAGATAAATACAATTGATCATAACTAAACATATAAATTTAATTGAAAGAAGGATTAGTATTTTCTCAGGATATTATAAAATAAATATATAAGTGAATAAAGAATTTCTAACTTTTTTGGAACATAATTGTGTAAAAAACTATTAAGAAATAATTAAACCTATTGATAATTTTTAATAATAAATAACACTAATAATAATAATAATAATAATTATTATTATAATATCTATTACTAAGAATATATATATTATCAACCCCAACCATATCTATCATAAACTGGATGACAAGGAGACCAAAAATCTTCTATGCTTTCCTCCTTCTATTAGTGATCCAAATTTATCAATTCATATTATAATATATAGACTTTTTCTTTTGCTTCTCTGGATGTAATTTATCCTTCAAAATATTAATTAACAAGATTGCTCTGTTGAAAACATCCAATCCACCATTTATAATAAGAGAACTTTGCAAATTTTTTAGATTTCTCTTTCAAAAATATCTAATCTTACTTTTGAATAAATTTATAAGTGGATTTGTTTTTTTTTAATAAATTGACTTAACGGAGCAATTTAGGTTTTGAGAGATTATAATAAAATTTAAATCGATGCGAATTTTCTTTAAAGATAAGAAGTCTTTAATAAATTTTACAAAAATGTCCATTCAAAATATATATTTAATGAATTTTAGAAGGTCTTATTTAGCAGTAATGTAGGATATTATTATAATACTAAATTACTATTATAGAATTTTAAATTATTAGATTCTTAATAAGGGGGAAGGATGTCAATTCTAATTGGATAAGTATATCTAATGTCTAAGTGTTCCTTATTTCTAATGTATAATTAGAGTATAGAAGAGCTAAAACATCTGTATTCTTTTAAGCACTCATATTAAGTAGATATTGCATTTTAATCTTAAAATCATTCTCCTTTTGTGTTTTTAATTCAACTTGAACAATCTCACCAAATTGTTAACAAATAAATAGATAAAGAACTTTACCACAGAAACAATACAATAGTTTTTATGTTTAAACAGATGCAGAACTTGATTGATTATCTTACAAACTAGATTCTCCTTCATTTTCTTCTTAATCTTTAGATAGGTATTCAAAGAAGGTATCATATTAAAATTCATTATTTTCTAAATATGCTAAATAAAAATAATCTCCCCCTTCATGAACTATTCCTATACGATTCTCATGTTTTCTTAGATAATAATCTATTTAACCACATTCCATCATTATTGTAGTCAACTTCGATAATTAAAAATACTAACCAAAGTTTCGATTCATAACTAAAATTATTTTTTATTAGATTAATCTCTAATAATTATTATAAGTATTAAATTTGATTAAAAATAAAATATGTATTTATATGGATTCAATTAAAATAAAATTATGATTGTATAGGGAGAGGTGTTTAAATAATTCAGAAGTAAATAAAATTATTAAATTATATTTAGATGTATCTTACATGTAATCATATTGCTAATGGTTTTAATAATATTTTTGTTGTTATATTTATTATATTAATCAGACTAAACTTAAGTTACTAACTGATGCTGTATCCCAACTTGTATGTTTGTCAGTTCTTTTAAGGCTTATTAATTTTCTCAAACAAGCCTTATAGACAAATCTTTCCTCTTCACATTCCCATAAATAATGCTTGATTTTTTTAGTTAATGGACGCATACTAATAATATAACATTAAGTAATACTATGTATAATGAGTAGAACTATCCTGATGCATGGGTGTATGGCCAAAGTCCTAAAAATCAAATGTTTAATATTTACAATTGACTTTCCATCAGTTAACATTCTTGGCCACATTGAAGGCCAGCTGGGATGAATGATTTCCATTTGTTTAGTATTTGATCTATTTGAATGATTAATATTTGAATTACTCGAAAGCACAGTCTTCATAATCATGCATCTACTTTAAACAAGGAGTTGTGTCTACACTAAAAATATCATATACCAAACACAGGAGGCACTGAAGAAGGCAATGTACCAAAAAATAGATAACTCATAAAATAAATATAAATTAATAATAATATCTAATTTTATTTCTAAATAATATAATTTTTATTTCTAGTCATTTATTTTATGTCAATAGTCTAATATAATATAAATAACATTAAATTTTGTAATATCAATATAGATTAATCCAAATTTATAATAAATATTAATACATATAATTATGTAAATTCCTAATAAACTTTTTAATATGATGGAAATGCTGAGAATCATAAATTTATGAGGAATATAATTGATTTAAATTGATTTAGAAATTAAAAAAATTAGAAGAGGCAATTTCTATTAAATAAATTTAAGATCTAAAAAATAATTTGAAAGAAATGATTAATACTTAAAATAATTAGATTTAAAATCAGAGTTTAAAAATGGTATGAATTGATTAAACCCTAACTTCATTTTGTAATAAAACAACTATTTGGAATTAACAAAATATAAAGTATAATTATTTGTTTTATATAAGTGTTATTACAAAAACATAATCAGTTTCTATATTTAAAGTTAATTTAAAAATCAAGTATTAAAAAAAAGAGATTGATAAAATTAAATAATAATAAGTTATTTAGAGGAGAAATCTGAAATCAAAAAAAAAATATATACCTTGGAAGTATTTCTTTTGAAAATAAAGAAAAGGATCAACAAAATTTGAAATAAAGTTAAAAGATATAACTAATAATCATTTATTAATATTTAAATTTTTTAATTAGAAGAAAAACAGAAATCTATAATTCTATTATTAGAGATGATGAATATGATATTTCTTAAGTTACTAAAGATCATGTTATAAATAAATAATCAGAGTTTATAAGAATACCTTTTACATTATTTCAAGATAAATTAATATATTTAATTAACAAAAGATTTTTATGATTATAACAATAATATGAATTAGATTCCATATTCAAAGAATAATAATATTAATAAAAATTGAATATGTAGATAAAAACAATAATGACAATGATAAATCAGAGCTAAAAAGTATAAATTTAATTTTATTATAAATAAATTAAAAAATTTAATTTTAAGAGATTTTACATGTAATATAGATTATACTTTAAATTTTTTATTTAATTGTAAACCTATTATTATAGTAGAGAATAGAATAATATATTTCAATAGAATAAGTACGATGATTAATTAAATTTAAATTTGATATTATTATAAAATTATTTCATATTATTCTATTATGAATCAAAAAAAAAAAATTATAGGAATGTAAAATAAACATTATCAACCTGCTTTACACATTTTGGAGGTTGATTTTTAATAAAATCTATCACAGGAAGGTATTATTCATAGAAGATGATTTACCAAGTTATAATAATAAAAGCTTAAGAGGGCATTCATTTATTATAACTTTCAAAACATCTTCTCCTTAAGAAATCAGTTAAGGAAGCATATTTGTTATCAACAAAATGGTTAAAAACCTGGAAAATACATGTTGGATATGATGCTATTTTGAAAGGTGAATAGCCTGGAGGTAAGGGATATGGAAGACAATAACTTTGGGAGATTAATAATGATATAATAGAGAACAAAGAATTATTTCATGCTGCACCAGAATTATATGATTATTTAGAAACTCCTTTGAATGATGTGTAACCTTTTAAAGATTATATTCTCATTACGTTAGAAGCTTGGAAATTCTATTATTAAAAATACACAGGTACAGCAATAAGGAGAATAGCAAATGAGTAAGGAGAGTTCTAATTGAAGATTATAAGTGTAATTATTAATTTATATATAAGCCTAATGTAATTTTTATGACTTAAGAGATATTGAATGAGATTTATTCACTTAATTAAAATTTATCAATTAATTCTCTTGATTTGTTGAAAATGAGAAAAGTTTAAATTTTTAGTGATTGGAAATTTGGAGAATTAGAGACATTTTGTTAATAAATAATGTAGAGTAAAGATATACAAATTTGGTTAATGAATCCTTTTTATGAATAAAATTAGATTAAATTATAATTGATAAAGACAATTCATTAAAATAACAATATTTTGTTGGGTGAATAATTAGTAAAAGCAGAATATTAGGAATTTTAATTATCACAGTTTATAAAAAATCATTTTATTTTAGTAGTATTTTAAAATAATGTTTAATTATCTTAATTGAATGTTTAAATTGAATTAAATTAAAATGGATGTTGTTTTACATGTGGATAAAAGACTTTCTTGAATTATTAATGTTTTTGCAAAAAAGTATTTTATTGTAGTGAAATTTGTAAATATAAAGATTAAGAATTTCATTCAAGATAATGCACAAAAGCATATGATTCATAAGATGATGAAGATTTTGATGCAATCAATTATGAAACTATTTCTAATAAATAAGGAGTAGGATTAATTAATTTGGGTAATACTTCTTATATGAATTCATCTTTATAAAGTATCTTTAGTTCAACACATTTTTAAGAATTTTTTTCAAATAAATAATATTGGACTTAAAATACTATTAAAAGAAATATTCCATTAAATTACAAATTAGAAAAACTTTTAAAAAATCTATTAAGTCAAAATGAAGCAGTTTCACCATTTCGTTTCAGATAGCAATTAGTTAAAAAATATCCATTTGTAAAAATTAATAATCATAAATTAGTTTGGTAATGATTTCTAATAAGATGCTGCAGAATTTATATTATATCTTTTTGATACATTAAATGAAGAATTGATATAAAATGATGATAAATAGAAACTAAAATCTTAATAATAATTAGAATTTGGAGATGGTAATTAATTAGATTTTAAATTAGTAAATACTTATAATGATGATGAAAGTAGAGAAGAAAATGGAAATTAAAAAACACAATGGATAAAATTCCATAAAAAAATACAATAAAATGTAAATTAAATTCTTAACTTTAGTAAATTAATAGTGATAATTATGAATAGGCTGTTGAATAAATATAAAAAACAAATAGTTAACTCATTCTTAAGAATTACTTAGGAATTACTAAATCTGAAATTGAATGTCCAATCTGTCAATAAAAAACATAAAGTTATGAATCCTTTTATATATTACCACTCGTTTTAAATGCTACAACTTCTTAATCATAAAATTAAATAGATGTATTTGTTATATCAAATGATTGGTATCAACCATATAAAAAAATTGTTTATGAATATCTACCAAATTCAACTTTGTTATTAGAAGTGAAAAGAGATATAGGAGAATAGTTAGGCATTGAACCAACAACTTTATTAGGAGCATTTTGTCTTAATAACAAAATAGATATGTATTTATTTCATGATGAGGATCTTCTTGAGAAAATCCTTTATTATAATTAAAATAGTTATTTTTGTTTATTTTAATTAGATCAGAGCATTTATTCAATAACTGATGAAGATTAATATTTTGATGTGATGATCTATTCAAATGAAAAAAGTAATGCTTTCTCCAATCAATGTTAAAACATAAGTGCAACCATTCCAAAGATTTTAATAATCAAGAAATAATTTACTGCAACTCAAATATATCAATTAATTTGGAAAAAACTTGGACAATATTCCAAATCTGAATAATTAATAGATATCTAAATAGATAAACCTTAATTAGAAAATCTATTAAATTAATAACAACTCTAAGAAATTTTGAATTATTAGATTTTCATTCAAACTAGATTACCATCTAAAACATTTTGTCCATTTACATGTGGCTAATCATTTAACAAAGATTAAAAATCTCATTATTGTTAATTACCTTACAATAATTCAACTACTTTAAAAGATTATTTGCATAAAATAAATTATGCCAATGCCAATACTTCAATATCAATAGAATTTATAGAAAATGCCATACCAAAGTCTTTAAAAATAGAATTTGAACCTTAAACAAATTATCGTCAATAAGATGAATGTATAATTATATATAGATTAAATAGCATTAAATTTAATAAATTTGATTAACAATTTCTAATCTATTGAACCTTTAGTAGATGAAAATGCTTATCATTGTACCATTTGTAATGATTTAACTTTCGCTATAAAAACAATGAGTTTGAAAAAACTTCCAGATTAATTGATTATTCAACTTAAAAGATTTTAATATGATGAACTTTGGGGATTCTAAAAAAACAATATTTTAGTAACATACTAAGAAACTATAATGATAAATTAAATAGACTATGAATTATATGGTGTTGTATAACATTTTGAAGGATTAGAAAATGGTCACTATAAAGCATATGGAAAAAGATAAAAGAAATGGATAGAATTTAATGATTAATCAACAAAAGAAGTATAAATAAATGATGTAATAAATGATAAGAATGCTTACATATTATTTTATTAGTAAAAATGATTTTTATATATAATGTATTTAAAAGTTAATCATTTTTATTTGCTGAGTGGTAATTATTCTTTATAAAAGGCTTATTCTATAATAGGATCTTCACCTTCTAAAGCAAAGAATGATAATGGCATTATTACTCCCCCATTTTCAATGTACTTTGACCATTCTAATAATTCTTTTCCTCTCCATCCTGGACCTATTTAAGAATAAGATGGTAAATCTTTATAGTCAACCCATCTGGCTTATTGAGTTTCTTAGTCATTAAAATAAATAAAATACCTCTATCAGGTTTTTATTTTGGAATTTAATTTTCATCTATAGGTTCTGCATAATATATAACTCTCATTCTAAGATGATTTTAATCTGGCTTTAATGAATTTTCAACTCTTAAAATGCCTTTAAGAACAACATCAATTGATGCTTCTTCTTTGGTTTCTCTAATAGCAGCTTATTCAAAGGTTTCAGGAGGATCAACTAAACCTCCAGGTAACCACCATCCTTAATTACCATTTTCCAAAATAGTGAGATATTAACCTTTAGAATTTCTACATACAACAAGAGAGATTCCTAAAAGTGTTGATTGTTGTGACTTTAACATTATGTTTTATTATATTATTATTTAAATGTAAAATGAATAGTATGTTTAATCACTATATTGAGATAATACGCAACATAATTTATTAATAATTTATTTTGAGGGTATTTAAATCTTTTTTCAAAATGTCTAGATAAATTATATATTTTATTCAATAAAAATTCAAACACTTTTTTAAATCAACAAAGAGTCGAAGTTTATGTCCTTATCCTTGAAGTGCATCTAGAGATTTGGTTCTTATCCCTTACCAAGAAGGATTGGTGTCTTAGGCTATGGTGCCATTGGGAGTGCATTTATTGAAGTTCTTTTGAAAAACCACCCAAGTAATAAATTGTTCTTTATTCTTAGACGCCTAAATAGTCGCTCTTGACAAATATGATGCCTTTAGACCAAATGAGAATCGTTTTGAATGTATAATAGAAGAGAGAACCAAACAAAACATAGATGACACACTTACAAGGATGGGGTAAGGAATTCTTTAATATATTAGATTACAAAGCGGAGATATTTTAGTGGATTTATCAACAAACATTGAATTCCTATCAATATGGCCATTATGTGCATAGAAAAAGATAAGATATATGAATACAGCCTTGGAGTAATGGGAAGACAGTGAAGATGCTAATTCTTGTCCTAAGAATAGTGAAGAAGCATACAAGCTATCATTGGGATATATAAAAGACAAGGCTAAACAATCAAAGTATTGGAATCCAAAGAGTGGAGCTACAAGCATACTAGAAATGGGATTTAATCCTGGTGTTATTTCACATTGTGTAAAAAGAGGATTAGAAGATTGTGCAAAGTATTACTTGATGCACGATGATCAATTCAAAGATGTGAACAAATAATTGTTGAAGAAATATTTGGAAGCTAGAAATCATTCTAAACTAGCCCAGGTGTTGGGTGTTCATACAATACATTGTTCAGAATATGATAATTAAATGATGAAGGACATTCCAAAAGATATTAATACCAAATTTTACAATACATGGTCCTGTAGAGGATTCTTAACTGAAGGACTTGTACCAATTTAAGTGGCTAGAGGAAGTCATGAAGACCCTGAAATAGAATCCATGTATACTATTAGAAATGGAAAAACAATTGTATCAACTAAACCTTCAGTACAGACTTTTGCTAAGAGTTGGCTTCCTAATTAAGATATTACTGGAGTATTGATACCTCATGGAGAGGCTTACAGTATTTAAGATTATTTGGCAGACCCTGAAACAGGTTATGCACCATCTTAATACTATGTTTATGATTATAATCCTTTGGCTAAGAAATTTATTTCTGGTCTTCCTAAGAATGCTGATATCAACAATACACATCCTGAAATGGAAGTTATTCATCCAATAAATCATCCTTCTTTAAGAGGAGTTGATAAGGTTGGTGCAATGATTATTATGAATAATAATAGAGGTTGGTGGACTGGTAGTATTATGGATGAGGTTGATAGTTCATTGTTATTTAATGGAAGATTTGGACCCACTGTTTTATAAGTAGTGGGAGGAGTTTATGCAGGATTTTTATGGAGTTGTATCAATCCAAATATTGGATCACATTTCCCAGAAAGTATTGACACTGATTTTCTTTTGAACATTGTAATTTAATTATCATAACAATTTAGGGATAAAAAACAATGGGTAGATTTGTTTCAGTTAATGTGGACTTGACTAAGACATCCATTAAAGATTGTTATAAGTTGCAGAGCTTCATTTGTGATAAGCAATGATTATTTAATAAATATTATTCAATTATAAATTTATTCCCAAAAACATTTCTTTTATATTAAATAATAATAATTACAATAATCATTAGTGTTTTTCTGATTACTTTTAAAATAAATATTAATTCAATAGATAGAATCTTCCATCTTTAATTATAAATGAGTAGATTATTTCTTTAATTGTTATTCAAGATTCATTCCAAATGATTCCACTCTTTTTTGCTTTTCTGCCTTATAATTTATGATACAATATATGATAAAACTACAACTTATTATTAATGGTAATCCAATTAAAAACACAAAAAGCAACCATTCTGTTGTTATATATTACTTATATCCAGTATTTGATATAGTTATATCCATACATAAACCTTAAATCTCATTTAAATTACTTGGACATAATTATACATTCAATACACTCTTAGGAGTGCTATTCTAATCAGCCTAATATATTATATAAATTATATAAATTTACAATTAATGTAAATTAATCATTAAGAGCGAACCATCTTAATTAAAAATCTTATTAATTATTGTCTTATTCCAATATTAACATTCGAACATGTTCATTCAAATAACCTTTTTATATGTCTAATAACATTAGATTTCCTTATATTTAAGCAGCTTGTATAACAGATTTCACAGAATGATTTATCTATTATTGTCCTCTTAAAAACAATTTAACAAATTATGTTTGTTCAGAATAATTTCTAGATGCATTTCTACAACTAATAGCAAAATATTCATTGTATGAGGCTTTCAATGATCCAGGTGGACTTTGACATTGAGTGTATTGTCTAAATTAAATTTTAATTTACTTAAAAATCTATTCAATCTCAATTCTTCCTGATATTTAAACTAAATCAAAACTTAATGAATCAGTTGTTACATTAATTGTATAAGTTGATTCATTCTAAAATTGAACTTCAGTATCAATATATGTAAATTCAAATTAATTTTGTACAAAATTACTCACTAAATATATATAATTATTAATTTACTTAATTCTTTTATATTTAAAATTTCCACATTTATTAATTTATATAATGGTTATTTATTTGTTGTGTATATGAAACTAATCTATAATTTATATAGATTAAATGAATATTAATCATTGAATACTAATTCTATAATTGTATCAATCTTTATATTATTAGCATCTTCTATAGCACAACCTTTAATACAATACATCTCAAAATTATTAACTATCAAAGTATTTTTATTAAAATTAGATGCTCCAATCACATCTAAAAGTGATCCATTCAAAAGTGAACTCTAATTCTAATCTAAGTACCCATAAAAGATACATATTAAATTATCTCTTTCTCTGTCTTCTGTGTCATATCTTTTATTTCCTTTAACCATTGCAGTTACAGTAATGAATTTATATTTTGGTTTAAATTGAATTGGGAAATTGATCATCTTTACATCTTCCAAAATAAAAGAACTTTAATTTTAATATAAGAAATCCTTAAAATTAATATTTAAGAAGAAAAAATTCTCCAAAAATTATTTTTCAATTGGTTAATTATCAGATAAGATTGTAAAACTCAATTAATTTATTTAATTTGTAACATCTATTCTAACCATCATTGATTAACAAAATAATGCTATGATATGAATAGCTGATAATTCTGCTATTGATAATGGATTAATAAATGATTTAGTACAATTATTAACAGTAGGTTAATCTTGATCAAAGAAAACATTCTTGATCTCATCATAATCTATTGTACTCTAAATTACTTATTTATGATCTATGTTATTAAATAATTTACATTAAGTTTAGGGAATATCTATTATACCTATTGTTTCATCACCTAAAATAATTAAATACTCTTTAGAAACACTAGTTCCTAAGATTATTTAATCAATTTTAAATCTAACTAGATTATCCTCTTATTCTAAAATAAATGGCAACATTTTAATATTGAAATCTTTAGCATTTTACAATTAATAATTGAAAATAGGACCTGAATAATAATCCATTATTTTTAATTAAGTTGTAAAATTTGTTTTGTAGATTTCAATTTCTGCTAATCTTTTTACACTCTTTTCTATCATAGTATCTTAATATCTAAAACTACCATTGATTGTAAGGGTTTCTATATATTGGATTAATTATAAAAGTACTTTATACACTATAACTTAATGCAGATTAAGCATTAATTGCAACAGAGAATTAATTATCAATATTTGTTGGATCAGAAGCAATCAGTTCAAATTCAAGCATTTTATTAAAATAACAATTAATATCAGCATTTGCAAATTATAAACAGTATAGAAAAGTTTACATTTTTGGATAACATATTGTTATAGGTTCTGATAAAATTGAATATTTGTGAATTGCATGTAATCTATCTGATCCTGTCTTTGACAAATCATATACATATAATTCATTAGGTTTATTAGTTGGAACTATTAACATATAATAATTAATATAGGTTTCATTAGCATTAATAATGCTATTGAATTAGGGTAATAAGGAATCAAATTTAATATCTTATAAATTATCTATTGTATATAATGTTATTCTATCATCTACAATAACTAATGTTAATATAGGTTTTTTAAGTTATAATACAAAGAATTTAAAATTATGAGTCATTTAACCTAATTCTATTTCTGTAATGACTGTTTTAAAATGATTAGCTTTAAATTAACTTGTCAATTGGATCTAATATAATTTATTTTAATGACTTCCTATAATTAGATCATTCTTTAAAAATTAAAAATTTAATTATCTAAATCTACGATCTATCTCTATTGTTATTAAATTTTTAAAGTAAATATCAGTGTAATATATAGTATTGTTTGTGCTGAAAAATAAATTAATATAATCTAAATCTACAAAGATTTCATATTATTAATCATAAAGTGGATACTCTACATTTTTACAATCATATTCTACAACATCCTCTTATACTCTTATTATTTTCAAAACAGTATAATATGTTGTTTTTTAATAAAATATTATATAATATGGTGAAATACTAACAATATTCTTTACAATATTAACTGATGAGCAATCTAAAGAATAAATTTTTTAAGTAAAATAATTTGTATTTGTTATTTCTTATTAAATGATCATTTTAACTTAATCTATTTATAAAAATATAGTTCTAAATCCTTTATCTAAAAATGATTTAATTGGGATTCGAGAGTGTTATATAAAATGTTAATATAAGTCTTCCCACATTTCATATCCAAAGCCAGAAAGGCTTATTACTTCAACATCTAATCTAATATATAATTAATACATACTTTTTTTATCACT